CTTTGAGACCTGGAGCAGTTGGGGAAAGGAACCCTTTGCAATCAGAGAGACCTGGAGCAGTTGGGGAAAGGAACCCTTCCAATCTGAGAGACCTGGAGCAGTTGGGGAAAGGAACCCTTCCAATCTGAGAGACCTGCAGCGGTTGGGGAAAGGAACCCTTCCAATCTGAGAGACCTGGAGCAGTTGGGGAAAGGAACCCTTCCAATCTGAGAGACCTGGAGCAGTTGGGGAAAGGAACCCTTCCAATCTTAGAGACCTGGAGCAGTTGGGGAAAGGAACCCTTCCAATCTGAGAGACCTGGAGCAGTTGGGGAAAGGAACCCTTCCAATCTGAGAGACCTGCAGTAGTTGGGGAAAGGAACCCTTCCAATCTGAGAGACCTGCAGCAGTTGGGGAAAGGAACCCTTCCAATCTGAGAGACCTGCAGCAGTTGGGGAAAGGAACCCTTCCAATCTGAGAGACCTGCAGCAGTTGCGGAAAGGAACCCTTCCAATCTGAGAGACCTGGAGCAGTTGGAGGAAGAAGAGTGCTCCAAAATTCCAGTAGAGAGATGGAAGAACTCATTGATGGTTACAGGAAGCCATTGATTTCACTTATTTTTTCCAAGGGGTGTGCTACCAAATATTACATGGAGGGTGGCAACAATTTTGTCCAGTCCATTTTTGGAGTTTTGCGTGGAATGTGTCAGATTTGGCTTTTTGTTTTTCCACTTTTTTGTGTCATCAATACAAACCAAAGAAATAAACACGAGAAACATTTGTCATTGCAGCAATTTTCTGGGTGAAGTGGTGCATTGGCAGAAATGCGGGGGGGGGGTAAGATTTTTGGCCATGACTGTATATAAACCCGCCTCTATGAGAGTCACAGTCACGCCGTAGCTGAAGACTAGTTCCTGAAAGGACGGTGGTTTAACAAGGAGGAGTTAAATCACTCGGCAGAGAATTATGAAGCCTTGGAAATCTCACCCCGACATCTTCTGCAGTTCAATAAAACGCAGGTCATTAGCAGCGCAGTCTTGTGATTTTACGGCTGAGGGCCCGCGCTCCGTTCCCATCTCACTGAACTCCCTAATATATATTTTTTATATTATAAATCCATTAACCGTCATTTGTAATACTTACATTCCCTAAAACTATTCATTAGTACAGTTAATGAAAAGTGTGTCTCGGAACATTAATTGCGGGAGATGAGGCGCGGTCCACGTCTCGGGTAGGCTCCTGTCGGGCCGGAGGAAGGGAGGCTTACGTGGAATAATAGTCTCTTAAAATCAAATTAAGACATTTCCTCATCAACTTTCACCCTATTTATAGCAGACGGGGGAAGGGGGAGGGAATGAGCGGTGAATGCGAGAACTCGCGGCAGATACACAATTATCCCCTTGGAGCTTGTAAATGTTATTGGCCCCGTGCGGTCCTGTTTCTGTAGAGCCCAAACTCAACCTGTCCTGGCATCCTGCAGCTTGTGTGGACCAGCATCAACCTAAAACTGCATCCCATACGTCCACACCAAGTTCTCCATCCAAAGCCCACTTTCCACCACGATCCACACGTTCTTCATACCTCAGTGTCCCACCCGAGAGACAGAGAATCAGCCAAGGTCCGAATAGGCAGTAGAGGAATGCCAGGCCTCGGTTAGTACTGCCTACCCTGATCTTGCCTAATGCACTACTCCTGTGCTGCCTGCCCTGACTTCAGCTTCTCTGAAAACTATACTGCTGTGTATTCCACAGGATTGATGTATAGTGAACTAAAGGCCATCTTCTCATTTAGTTGGGGGTGGTGCAGGTAAGGTTTGAACCCTCATTGGGGTCACTACTAGGAGAATTGCCTTCATCTGTTGTTTAAACTATTTTTCAGGCAGTAAGAGGGGCTTCCCAATGGGGGCCCAGTCAGCAATATAGAGCTCCCAGGGATTCCATCCCTTCCCTGCTCCACGTAACCCCAAAATAATACTTCAGAAAAGAATATAACCTGAAGATTCCCTCTGACCAGCAAATGTCTTGCTATGTGACACTGAACATAATAGAACATATTAAGAATGATTGTACTCTGGGGATTCTGGGATCAATGTGAGTGATCACACAATCCTCCTGATTAATGAATCCTCCAATAATTGATAATTGATCCGGGGGGGGGGGGGGAGGACACGACCCAGTGAAATTATCTGGAAAACACTCTGATAAATCCCTGACACTCAGACACTTCTCGGGATATTTATTAAAGTGTTTTATGACCTCTCTGCGGCTGACAAGTCCAATCAATACGGGGCCATCAATAATGACATAATCAATAACGGCACGCAGGTCCCTCTCTGATCTGGGAAGATGGATGTCTGTCACATCATCAGATAATCGTCATTCCTCCCCAAAGTCGTGTAACCATGGAAGAGGCTCCTGGCAATCCTCCAACCTCATCACTTATCTCAGAGTGAGGAGGAAGAGGGAGCGGAGAGCCGGAGAGCCGGGAGGGAGGTGCAGGAAGAGTCTCCCTGTGCTCAGAGGAAGAAAGGGGATCATCGAATGGCTCAGCACTGGTGAGGACTCCATTATCCTCACTTCCAGGGGAGTCTCAGCCAGGACTGGCCTGTAGATGGAGGAAGCCTTCCATCCCTCAACACATAGGAGACTCATACATATATTACCCATAGTGCACCACACATGGGAGGACATATATTACCCATAGTGCACCACACATGGGAGGACATATATTACCCATACTGCATCCCGCATGGGAGGACATATATTACCCATAGTGCACCACACATGGGAGGACATATATTACCCATAGTGCACCACACATGGGAGGACATATATTACCCATTGCACCCATATGGGAGGACATATATTACCCATACTGCATCACATATGGGAGGACATATATTACCCATACTGCACCACATATGGGAGGACATATATTACCCATACCATCCCGCATGGGAGGTGCACCACACATGGGAGGACATATATTACCCATACTGACATATATATTACCCATACTGCACCACATATGGGAGGACCCCATATGGGAGGACATATATTACCCATACTGCATCCCATGGGAGGACATATATTACCCATACTGCACCACATATGGGAGGACATATATTACCCATACTGCACCACATATGGGAGGACCCATACTGCACCACATATATATTACCCATACTGCACCACATATGCACCCATAGTGCACACACATGGGAGGACATATATTACCCATACTGCATCACATATGGGAGGACATATATTACCCATACTGCACCACACATGGGAGGACATATATTACCCATACTACATCACATACATGGGAGGACATATATTACCCATACTGCATCACGCATGGGAGGACATATATTACCCATACTGCACCACATATGGGAGGACATATATTACCCATACTGCATCACGCATGGGAGGACATATATTACCCATACTGCATCACATACATGGGAGGACATACTGCATCACATATGGGAGGACATATATTACCCATACTGCACCACGCATGGGAGGACATATATTACCCATACTGCACTGCACATACACCCATATGGGATGGGAGGACATATATTACCCATACTGCACCACATATGGGAGGACATATATTACCCATACTGCATCACATATGGGAGGACATATATTACCCATACTGCACCACATATGGGAGGACATATATTACCCATACTGCATCACGCACGGGAGGACATATATTACCCATACTGCACCACATATGGGAGGACATATATTACCCATACTGCACCACATATGGGAGGACATATATTACCCATACTGCATCACGCACGGGAGGACATATATTATCCATACTGCATTCTGCATGGGAGGACATACACTATATTGCCTAGGCCAGACTTCTGAAGGCCGAAGCTCCCTGTGACTGTGTGCTGCCGACTGTTGGGATGTTACAAAATTAGTCTCTAAACTTTTTGATACTGCCTCATACATGTACATACACAATATATTACCAGAAATATTCGACCGCCTGCCTTTACCACATGACCTTTAATGACCCCCCAGTCTTAGTCCGTAGGGGTCAATATTGAGTTGGCCCCGTCCTTTCCACCACATGACCTTTAATGGCCCCCCAGTCTTGGTCTATAGGGTTCAATATTGAGTTGGCCCCACCCTTTGCAGCTATAACAGCTTCAACTCTTCTGGGAAGGCTGTCCACAAGGTTTAGGAGGGTGTCTATGGGAAGGTTGGACCATTCTTCCAGAAGCACATTTGTCAGGTCAGGCACTGATGTCGGGGGAGGAGGCCTGGCTCGCAGTCTCCGCTCTAATTCATCCCAAAGGTGTTCTATGGGGTTGAGGTCAGGACTCTGTGCAGGACAGTCAAGTTCCTCCACCCCAAACTGGCTCCTCCATGTCTTTATGGACCTTGCTTTGTGCACTGGTGCTCAGTCATGTTGGAACAGGAAGGGGCCATCCCCAAACTCCTCCCACAAAGTTGGGAACATGGAATTGTCCAAAATGTCACCTGAAGAGTTCCCTTCACTGGAACTAGGGGGCCAAGCCCAGCCCCTGAAAGACAACCCCACACCATAATCCCCCCTCCACCAAACTTTACACTTGGCACAATGCAGTCAGGCAAGTACCGTTCTCCTGGCCACCGCCAAACCCCAACACGTCCATCGGATTGCCAGACAGACACTCCAGAGAACACGTCTCCAGTGCTCTAGAGTCCAGTAGCTGCGTGCTTTACACCACGGCATCCGACGCTTTGCATTGCACTTGGTGATGGAAGGCTTGGATGCAGCTGCTCGGCCATGGAAACCCATTCCATGAAGCTCTCTACGCACTGTTGTTGGGCTCATCTGAAGGCCACACCAAGTTTGGAGGTCTTTAGCTATTGACTCTGCAGACAGTTGGTGACTTCTGCGCACTGTGCGCTTCAGCATGCGCTGACCCCGCCCTGTCATGTGACGTGGCCTACCACTTGGTGGCTGAGTGGCTGTTGTTTCCCAGTTGCTTCCACTTTGTTATAATCCCACTAACAGTTGAGCGTGGAATATTTAGTAGCCAGGAAATGTCACGGATGGACTTATTGCACAGGTGGCCACCTATCACGGGACCACGCTTGGTGTCACTGAGCTCCTGAGAGCGACCCATTCTTTCACCAATGTTTGTAGAAGCCGTCTGCATGCCTAGGGGCTTGATTGTATACACCTGTGTCCATGGGGGGGATTGGAACACCTGAATCACATGATATGGAGGGGATTGGAACGCCTGAATAACATGATTTGGAGGGCAGGGCCAATACTTAGGCAATATGGTGTATATTGCCCATGCCTACATGGGGGGACATGTATTGCCAATGCCTACACATGGGGGGACATATATTGCTCGTGCCTACACATGGGGGGACATGTATTGCTCGTGCCTACACATGGGGGGACATGTATTGCCCGTGCCTACACATGGGGGGACATGTATTGCTCGTGCCTACACATGGGGGGACATGTATTGCCCGTGCCTACACATGGGGGGACATGTATTGCCCGTGCCTACACATGGGGGGACATGTATTGCCCTATGCCTACACATGGGGGGACATGTATAGCCCATGCCTACACATGGGGGGACATGTATTGCCCACGCCTACACATGGGGGACAAATATTGCCCACGTCTACACATGGGGGGACATGTATTGCCCACGTCTACACATGGGGGGGGACATGTATTGCCCGTGCCTACACATGGGGGGGGACATGTATTGCCCGTGCCTACACATGGGGGGACATATATTGCCCGTGCCTACACATGGGGGGACATATATTGCCCGTGCCTACACATGGGGGGACATATATTGCCCGTGCCTACACATGGGGGGACATATATTGCCCGTGCCTACACATGGGGGGACATATATTGCCCGTGCCTACACATGGGGGGACATGTATTGCCCGTGCCTACACATGGGGGGACATGTATTGCTCGTGCCTACACATGGGGGGACATGTATTGCCCGTGCCTACACATGGGGGACATGTATTGCCCGTGCCTACACATGGGGGAACATGTATTGCCCGTGCCTACACATGGGGGGACATGTATTGCCCACGCCTACACATGGGGGGACATGTATTGCCCACGCCTACACATGGGGGACATATATTGCCCACATATATTCTACACATGGGGGACATATATTGCCCACGTCTACACATGGGGGGACATGTATTGCCCACGTCTACACATGGGGGGACATGTATTGCCCACGTCTACACATGGGGGGACATGTATTGCTCACGTCTACACATGGGGGGACATGTATTGCCCACGTCTACACATGGGGGGGGGGGACATGTATTGCCCACGCCTACACATGGGGGGGGACATGTATTGCCCGTGCGTCCACATGGGGGACATATATTGCCCGTGCCTACACATGGGAGGACATGTATTGCCCATGCCTACACATGGGGGGACATGTATTGCCCATGCCTACACATGGGGGGACATGTATGCCCACATGGGGGGGACATGTATGCCCGTGCCCGTGCCTACACATGGGGGGACATGTATTGCCCGTGCCTACACATGGGGGGACATGTATTGCCCGTGCCTACACATGGGGGGACATGTATTGCCCGTGCCTACACATGGGGGGACATGTATTGCCCGTGCCTACACATGGGGGGACATATAGTGCCCGTGCCTACACATGGGGGGACATGTATTGCCCGTGCGTCCACATGGGGGACATATATTGCCCGTGCCTACACATGGGAGGACATGTATTGCCCGTGCCTACACATGGGGGACATGTATTGCCCATGCCTACACATGGGGGGACATGTATTGCCCCATGCCTACACATGGGGGGACATGTATTGCCCATGCCTACACATGGGGGGACATGTATTGCCCACGTCTACACATGGGGGGACATGTATTGCCTACGTCTACACATGGGGGGACATGTATTGCCCACGTCTACACATGGGGGGACATGTATTGCCCATGCCTACACATGGGGGGGGACATGTGTATTGCCCATGCCTACACATGGGGGGGGACATGTATTGCCCGTGCCTACACATGGGGGGACATATATTGCCCGTGCCTACACATGGGGGGACATGTATTGCCCGTGCCTACACATGGGGGGACATGTATTGCCCGTGCCTACACATGGGGGGACATGTATTGCCCGTGCCTACACATGGGGGGACATGTATTGCCCGTGCCTACACATGGGGGGACATGTATTGCCCGTGCCTACACATGGGGGGACATATATTGCCCGTGCCCACACATGGGGGGACATATATTGCCTGTGCCCACACATGGGGGGACATGTATTGCCCGTGCCTACACATGGGGGGACATATATTGCCCATGCCTCTATACATGGGGGGACATATATTGCCCATGCTTACACATGGGGGGACATTCATTGCTTGGAGTTCAGCTTTGAAGCCCAGTTCTGGTGTCTCCTCTTGCCCTGGTTGACCATTCGCCAGCATCTCTGCGGGATTCTGCTTCCAATGGACCATTGCAGGAGTACCTGTGATCAGCATGGCGGCACGCTCGGAGGAGCGGCACAAGACGCCACTTCTGCGTTCTCCCAGATGTCTCTTATTATGTATACATTTCAGACGTGAGAAATAAAAACCCCTCTGAGAAGTGAGTCTGGAAGTGACCTGTCACCGTCGTGTCGGATAAAGTCCTCCACAAAGCAGAGAGCGCCTTTTCTTTTCTCCGTCTGTCATATTTTACGACTACAAAGCGACACGCAAGACAGGAATGCAATTTTCCTTTCAGAGCTCTTAGGAACGGTTACTTATCTGCAATATTCTGAATTTCAATCGTCAGAAAGGTTAGAGAAGAGCCGCGCTCCTGAAGGTCACATCCCCAACGCTGAGAAATTCTAGACAGATCTGTCACCGGAAAAAAAAAAAAACACTTGAAGAGACATTGGGAGAAACTACTGAGAGAAAAATAATTAAAGGGTCGGCCATTCAAAATGATATTTCAGGTTTAGTCGTTAATTGCTGGAGACTGAGGGAGTCCCGACACAGCCTGATCCTGACCTGACTGGGGTAGATACGGACCTCACCAGGGGGCGATAGGGAGTTCTGCCACCTCTGGAGCTGCTCAGTGGCATGATTTCATTTATATTCTTCTGTTACAAAATCTCAAATCGGAGTTCCCAAAAGTGGACCTGTCACCCACCATACAGGTCCCTCAACAGGTCCCAGTCTGCAGGAACAGGGACACCTCCACAGTTTATGTCCTTGGGTTCAGGTCAGTGACTGTGCCTAGGCTCAAATGAGGTCATCAGTCTGCTGCAGGGAGTAGGAGGAATTTCCTCAGTCTCCCCTCCCACAGTATTCAGACTGCACATTGTAACTTTGTATCCAGTCACAAGGTGAGAGGCCGCAACATTGGAACTTTGTATCCAGTCACAAGGTGAGAGGCCGCAACATTGGAACTTTGTATCCAGTCACAAGGTGAAAGGCCGCAACATTGTAACTTTGTAGTCGGTCACAAGGTGAGAGGAGGCAACATTGTAACTTTGTAGTCAGTCACAAGGTGAGAGGCGGCAACATTGTAGCTTTGTAGTCAGTCACAAGGTGAGAGGAGGCAACATTGTAACTTTGTAGTCAGTCACAAGGTGAGAGGCCGCAACATTGTACCTTTGTAGTCAGTCAAAAGGTGAGAGGCAACAACATTGTAGCTTTGTAGTCAGTCACAAGGTGAGAGGAGGCAACATTGTACCTTTGTAGTCAGTCAAAAGGTGAGAGGCGGCAACATTGTACCTTTGTAGTCAGTCAAAAGGTGAGAGGCAACAACATTGTAACTTTGTAGTCGGTCACAAGGTGAGAGGCGGCAACATTGTAACTTTGTAGTCAGTCACAAGGTGAGAGGCCGCAACAGTGTAACTTTGTATCCAGTAACAAGGTGAGAGGCCGCAACATAGTAACTTTGTATCCAGTCACAAAGTGAGAGGCGGAACATAGTAACTTTGTAGTCGGTCACAAGGTGAGAGGCGGAAACATTGTAACTTTGTAGTCGGTCACAAGGTGAGAGGCCGCAACATTGTAACTTTGTAGTCGGTCACAAGGTGAGAGGCAGCAACATTGTAACTTTTTGTAGTCGGTCACACAAGGTGAGAGGCCGCAACATTGTAAATTTGTAGTCGGTCACAAGGTGAGAGACCGCAACTACGGGGCACTATTCCTCTCAAGTGACACCAATGATGGGGCACAATTCCTCCAAGTTACACCACTTATAGGGCACTATTCGCTCTACTGACACCATTGACAGAGCACTAGTCCTTCCACTGACACCAATGATGGGGCACTATTCTGACATCAATCCAACCATGGAGCACTATTTCTTCCATGAGCACCCACCATGGGGCACCATTTTTCCCCCTAATTTCAAAGATGGGATTGTTTACTCCCACTGATGCCAGGAAATGTTCTACTTCCACTGGCCACAGTCTGGCCCCCTTGAAATCTGAAGGACAATAAACTGGCCCTTTGTTTAGAACGTTGGGAACCAGATGAAGGCATTTTCAGGTACTGTATGTTCTATATGATGTTGCTCAGATGATGCCTCTATGGCACTACTGGTCATGGTCAAGTAACTTCTATCCAAGATGGCATCCAATGTAATGGCATCTCTACACCACATTTTGAAAAACAAACATTTGGAGCCCCTCTGCTCACGGTAGAGCCCCCTCAGAGTGCAGTAGCCCTGTCACTACAGGACGGATGAGGGGCGCCAAGGGCCAGGGAACAGAAGCAGCTGACATGTCTTCCACAAACTGAAGGCCGGACAAAGCGCATTGAAGGTCTGAACCCCCAACACAAAGGCCGCCAAGGTCAATGTATTGTGTTGGACAATGACCAAGATCTTCACACCTCATCGCCTTTATTGTCAGTCTGATGCAGGCGGGTCACCATTCGCATACATAAACAGAAAAAGCACAACGGAAGGAAATGCTACGTTATTTGCCGCTAAATGACTCCAAATGTCAGAAGGACCTTTTCTCATCTGGTTTTACCATCTTCTGCTGTGAGCTTCAACCGCCCTACAGCCTCTGAGTTGCAGCAAGAGTGTGCTATGACTGAAACAATTTTCAGCAATGTACCAACTTGATCAATAGGAGGTAAAATCTATAACAGATTACACACAGACAGATGAAAATCCCTCCAACTTCAAGAGGTAGGCCGAAACCAAGGATGATAGAGGAGCTCCATCCGTACATTATGAAACCAGTGCCCTCAGAGGTCACAGGGCCTGCTCTGGCCACCAGACTCCGAATTCTATCCAAGAGGATCTATCCGGTCCCAGAAATCAAATACACTCACCAGAAGGTGGCTCAGTGGATCCACCATTCTTTCGTTGGATAGTAAGGTGGCCTTTACTTCCTCCGGGGGCCCCCACAATGTACACCAAATGCATTAACCAGAC